TTGCTATTCCGCTGTTTATCTCTGATCGGTGTGCAGTTGGACCCTGTCTCCTTCTCCCCTTTGTCTCATGCATGTATGGGCGTGTGTGAGTTCTTATGAGTGAGAGTGGCAATTTAAGTGTCAGACAACCAAGTTCATAACAGTGCCACGTCAGCAACAGTGCCACGTCAGCCAGAGTGCCACGTTAGCAGACTGCCACATCAGCAGAGTGAGCAGAAAGGCCACGTCAGCACAAAGGCTGAGGTTGGGCTATGCTCTGGTGCAATGCACGAATCATATCACAACAAAGCTCTGCACCTCCCGCACTTGAAGCCGCAGTTCGTCAGCAGACTCCTGGTGGATGCCGACAGCCCTCAACCGCAGGCATGGCCTCGGCAGCAGCAGCCGCAGTGAGCCCACCTGGGAGCACGTCATCCCACAGGACACCCGGTTTGGGCCTGCGCGGTCTACGAGGGCAGGGACCCAATGAGACTGTCGAGGCTTTCCTGCTTCAGGGGGGCAATTACTTGGCCTTCATTGACGTGGAGAAGAAGCATCAAGCTGAAGCCGAAGGCAACCGCATCAGTGCAGCTGAACAGGCTGCAGCAGAACAGTGACGACAACAAGCCGAGGCCGCAGCGGCAATGAGCCAACTATGGCTGAAGGCCTGCTTGACACTGCAGCAGCGCGAGTTGGAGTACGCTGCGACACTAAAAAATGGCACTTTACACTGACGGAGAACAACAACGACCCGGCGGACGCCGAGAAGACAAAGGAGGAGATCTCCAAGATGATCGCACAGCTAATCGCGACATGCAATTGGCAGCAGCAGGTGCGAGTGATTGACAGCGGCAAGGACCAGCAAGACGGCACTAATTGCAGCTTTCACGCATGCCTCGCTAACTTGGAGACGAAGGATGCCGCCACCCAGTAGCAGACCACCTATCATACAGCCGTCCACTCGACAGCTGGAGCAGCGGATGGACCACGCCCTTGCCACAATCAACGACCTGGGCATGTTCGCAGCCTCGCAATGATCAGCCAGCAGCTCGCCATGTTGAAGGCCGACGTCTGCAAATTGCAGCAGCACCCACCAGGTGGTAGAGACCAGCGATCGTATAAGATGTCAAACTTCAACATCGAGAAGTTCGGCGACTACCACAAACCAGACCCACTAGCTTGGTGGCAAAGGTTCACTACCGCCATCAACATCCACCACGTGCCCGGTCACTTGAGGATAGCAACACTCTACCTCAATGTGACCCGCGCATGTCAAATTTGGCTCAACCACTTGGCCATGCACGGGGAGGTAACTATGGCGAACCTTCACACCAAGATCCCGTGGGACGATCTCTCTACTAAATGGAAGAAGCGGTTACTTGTTGACAATGCCAAAGCTCGCGCCGTGAACCAGATCGTCCGCATGTTCCAAGGGACTCAACCTTCACGCGAGTGGTTGACCGAATGGCAGAAGATCGTTGCCACTCCCAGCTTGAACATGTCGTTCGACCACATTATGTGCGAATCTTTCCTCTGGTCGGTTGACTCCTTGAGCTCAGTCCTTGAGGATTAAGACCGGTACGAGGACTTTGACTCCATCGTCGACTGTGCTCGGTCAGTCATCCAAACCAATCTCCGTGTCGCTAACGACAGACAAGGGCAGCCGAACTTTGTGGAGAAAGGAAGAGGACAACGGACGCAGCCCGTTGCTGCCGTCCAATCAACTGGACCAAATGAAGACCCGACATTGACTTCAGGGCCAAGTGAAGGAGATCAAGTCAATGCCCTTCCGCCACGACGCACCAACTCAATAACAAGAAAGGTGAAATCTGCATCAACATCGGAAGCCGAACAGCCGAACAAGCCTTGGGAAAAGTTCAAACTCACAGATGAGCAATTCAAGCACTGACAAAAGTGGGGAGCTGTTTTTGGTGCAACAACACTAAGCACACCCCCAATGCCCCGACAAGGTCAAGGAGGATGTTCGTCCCAAGCAAAGCTCGGGAAACTGAGTGTTGCGGGAAGTAAGGCGACTCCACTTCCCATTCCACTGGACACGGTTGCCTTGCTAGGAGAGATGGTTAATGGAGACCTTAATTTTCAGACAACTTGTCATGCCATTTATAACAAAATCCAAGAGTCATTTTATCCGAACTTGCTAGCAACCTCCTACACGTCCGGGGAGCATGTGGATGTCGCAAATCTTCGCCATGACTTCGAAGACTACGCTGTCCAGCTGGTCCCTCCGTTGGACCTACCCCTCCATGTGAAAGACTCATGCGCATGTGCGGTTTCATCACCATCGGCAAACCACCCGACTTATTCCCCGTCACTACTATCATCCGGGGATTCGTCGGTTTGGTCGAGACTTGAGGACCTCGACCCGTTGACGATGGAAGACTTCCAATGATTGCCTCTTCCCCCGTCCGGTTCCTTGCCAAAACCGCATTGCAACGCTTTGATGGCAGAATTGCGCAAGTATTTGAGCGCTGCAGTACCAGCTCCGTTGATGGAAGGCGGAATAGCGGTTGTTGACCTTCCCGAGTACCTTGCGAAGATTGAATGTGAGTACGCCACGCAACGGTACGATGACATCGATGCGCTGTTCCTTTACATTCGCATTCAGATCGGGAAGGCGACCTGCAGTGCCTTGATCGATTGTGTAGCTACTCGCAACTACATCAGCCAAGACTTCATGGAACGCGTTGGCCTGGGGCCATGCGTTCGAAAGAAGTCACAGCCTACGCAAGTCATGTTGGTCGGCGGTCACACGCACAAGTCCATGGACCATTTCATTGACACGGTGCCCGTTCACTTCGCCCCACACGCATGCAAGGTCGTGTCCTTTGACATCTTGGACACCAAGTTCGACATGATCTTGGGCATGTCGTGGCTGTGAACTGAGGACCACCTGCTGAACTTCTATCGTCGCACCGTTCGTGTTCATATTCGGAATGACATGCTAGTCCCATGTACGGTTTCTCCACCTCACTCTTTGATTGGTTGTCACGTGGTTTCCACGATGAGCATTCGCAACTCCATCGCACGGCACGACGTTGAAGAAATGGGCCTTTGCTTCTTGCATGTCATCCCTCCATCGGACGAGCCAGCATCGGAAGTGTCACCGAACCCACAAATTGTAGAGCTTCTTGACTCCTTCGGCGACGACCTTGAAGCCCCCGTCGAAATCGTACCGGATTGCCCTGTTCACCACGCGATCATCATCGAGGACGGGGCCGTACCTCCGTGGTTGTATCTATGGCATGAGCGAGGAGGAACTTGAGGTAATTCGTACGCAACTCGACGACCTCATTGCAAAGGTCTGGATTCGCCCTAGCTGCTCGCCCTACATTGCACCCGTTCTCTTCGTCCGGAAGAAGAATAAAGACTTGCAGCTCTGCATTGACTACCGCAAGCATAACGTGCAAAGCATGAAGAATGCAGGCCAGCTCCCACACATTGACTATCTTCTCGAACGCTTGGGGGATGCCACAAGAATGCAGGCCAGCTCCCACACATTGACTATCTTCTCGAACGCTTGGGGGATGCCACATACTTCTCGAAGTTTAACCTCAAATCCAGTTATCACCAAATCGAGATCCAACCACGAGATCGGTACAAGACCGCATTCAAGACACGGTATGGGCACTTCGAGTGGGTTGTAATGCCATTGGCCTCACAAATGCCCTGGCTACTTTCCAAGTGACAAAGACAACGGAGTTCTGCGACATGTTGGACCGGTTTGTATTCATGTACCTCTATGACATCTGGTTTATAGTCGGACCTTGGATGAGCACCTCACGCACCTATGCACCGTTTTGGAGAGGCTTCGTAAGGCCAAGTACCAGGCCAACCAAGCCAAGTGCGAGTTCGCTCAACAAGAGCTCAAGTACTTGGGTCACTTTGTGACGCCGCAAGGCATCCGTCCGCTCGCGTGCGAAATTCAGGTCATCCAAGATTGGCCAGAACCCAGAAACACCATGGAGGTTCGCTCCTTCATGGGATTGGCTGGGTACTATCAACGCTTCATTGGCAGATACGCACGGATTGCCGCATCGTTGTCATGACTTCAGTCTCTAAAGGTGGCCTTCCATTTCACCGAGAAGTCTGGAGTTCGTTCCACAAGCTTAAGACGTCGATGCTCATGGCTCCCGTTTTGAGCATCTACGACCCAAGTCACCCGACTTTGCCTACGAGAGTGACTCCTAACGCTTACGGTTATGACATTGGCGCAGTCTTGGAAAACCACGATAGTGACGAATGGCATCCGGTTGAATATTTCAGCCAAAAGATGGCCCCCATCAACTCGCTTGATGATGCAAGGAAGGAGTTGTTGGCGTTCGTCACGGTACTCAAACACTTGTGATATTTCCTCCTCGGGCATCCTAGGTTCACTTGGGTAACGAACAACAACCCATTGACCTACTGCAGGACGCAATATATGGTGAGTAGCACAATCGGAAGTGGATATACGTCATCGATCAGTTCGACTTCACACCGAAGCACATCTCAGGTCTCTTCAATCGACCGGCGAATGCTCTTTTGTGAAGAGCCAATCTTTGCGCATTGATACACCACGCCTTCGAATTTGACGAAGACCTTCATCAACATTTTGTACGCTCATACAAGAACCATCCGGACTACGCCACTCTCTACCGACAGCTTTCTTCGAACCACCCGCCGACTAGCCACCACCGCATCATCGACGGGTACTTGCTTCTCCATTCACGAGGCAAAGACTTGTTATGCATCCTATGAGACCATTGATTACAGACTCGCCTCCTTGGTGAGCACCACGATTCACGGCTCACCGGACACTTCACGAACAACCGGACGATTACTCGACTTCCCCAACGATTCCAATGGTCCGACGTCACACGGTATTGCGAATCTTGCAAGGTTTGTCGACGTAACAAGCCCCACAACCGCAACCTGTATCCTCACGGACGTCACCGGACCATTCCCATGAGATTGCCTCTAGCACGACGGTATCCTCACGGTCGTTGACCGATTGAGTAAGTATGTGTGGTTTCTTCCTTGCAAGTATCATGTGACGGCTCCCGAGCTCGTGAGACTCTTGCACACTGGCTGGATTTGCGGCCACGGCGTTCCGAAAGACATCGTTAGCAACCGCCACACTCGATTCATGTCAAAATTTTGAACATTCCTCATAAATGAATCTGGCACCAAAATGAAACCGAGTTCGGCTCGACACCTACAAACGGACGGGCAAATGGAGCAGGCACATCAAACCGCTCAAATGATGCTTCGTACGCTCATCCGTCTGAACCAGAAGGACTAGGTCGATCGCCTCCTCGACATCAAATTCGCCTACAACACTGCGTTGCGTCCGGCGATTGGAGTGACTCCCTTCGAGTTGCACCACGGTGGCCAGAAAGGTCGTATCTTCGCAGATCTTCTATTCCCTCGAGCAGCTAACATTGACGCCCCTTGCTCTCCCTTCGCCGTTCGAAAGTACCAGGGCTTGTTGGCGAAAGCCCGCGCAAGCATGCAAAAGGCTAAAGTCCGCATGCAGCATGCCGTGTCCCATCCGCGTTGGCGACCTGGTATGGATTTCCTCCGGGGAGTGCACAATTGGACAAGATGTCTCGTGCAAGCTCCTCCCCAACTGGTTTGGACCATGGACCGTCACATCAGCTGCGGGCGACAAGCCCGATGGCCCATCATTTATGACCGACATCCTGCCGCATCTAATGGTCCACCCGGTCTTCCATGCCTCCAAGCTGGCTACATACACACCAGCCAAGAGCGACGACTTCCAGGGACGGCGATCGCAATACCCTCCTTCCATGGATGGTCACCAGGAAGTCGATCCGGTCGTCACGCATCATAAGAATGACAATAAGCCAACGCCGTACAAGGTCACCTTCAAACAGTGCAACTGCAACGACACACGATAGACTTGCAACCTTCCGCACCCCTTATCTTTGCAAACTACGAGAAGCAATGAGTTGCCAAGGAGGTGTCCCAACCTGCCCCTCCCACCCGGACTTCGGTCC